TCTTTCCCTCTGCCACTGCTCCCTCACCCTGCAGCCCTGACCCGAGCAGTGCAAGTGCATCTCGTGGTCTGAATGGCCTCTTGAAGCATTCAGCAACCAGGCAGACAGGAAAGATCTGCTGCTGACCAGCTGAATAAGAGGCCAAATGGATGGGCAAGGACTACCCAGTGTTCTGCAGCTGCAGGGACAGTGGCCAACCTGCCATGTCTAGGAGAAATAAAAGAATACCGATTGTCAGGCTGAATTTCCCATTAAAAGGCAGTTTATTGGCATCAGTGAATATGCCCTACGCAAAAAGAGAAAGTACCGGTTACAATACAGGTACTCAACATACAGTGTAGCTTACAAAAAAAATCATCAACATCTTGGACACATGGACATGAAACAATCTTTTCCACTGACTGACTTAACTGAAATGAGTGATCTGCTCTACAAGTCAGTGAATAAATGTGCAAATTATTTATCTAGGTACTTGTGAGTCCGTGTCTCATAAGAAATAACAGCTTCAGACTTCATCCGAGATAGCAGACGTGGCAGGAATGGTTGGGCGTCAGAAGCTCCGACTGACACGAGGAGGAGAAAGACTGGAGGATTGTGTACGAGGCATGAAGCCGAGTTGTGGATGTGATGTTAAAAAAGAAAGGAAATGCTGAGATACTGTCTGGGAAACTTGCATTGGGAAACTGAGAAATGGATTTTTAAGGCTTTTTTGAAGAATCTCCTCATGCCAGAGAGGGTTTTAATCTGACGACAGAGGTTTGATGTCCCTCCATGTGTTTGGAGGGATGGAGACCTGCAAGGGGAATGGCAGGAGAATGTACAGTGCTAGCCACACAGACATGGTAAGGAACAGAAAAGGAGAGCAGAGAAATGGGCCAGCCCCAGCGTGAACATGGAGTTGTTAGTACAGACTTTAAGACACCTGGAAGCAGCATATCATTGTCTTCACCATCCCTAAAGAAGAAGAAAAGTCAGCGTTTGTTCCAGAAGCCACGATCTGAAGATTGCTGCTACCAGAGGAACCAAGGCAGTCTGCTGCTCGGCTGAAGGATGCTGCCTATGATGGCCGCCACAGTCTGAAGAGTCTATAGCCACTAAAGGCCACCGCAGTCAAAAGGGGTCATTGCTGAAGCTGTTTTTACCCTTCTTGCGCTTGGTTTTGGCAGATGATGTAGTGAAGTCAAGTGACTCGAGACGGAAAGGACGTGGCTGGGGCATCTCTACCATCTGTGTAGGAGAGACTGGTGCCATGCTGGAGGTACTGTTGTTCAGGGGAGCACCCAGCACTGGGGTGGCGTTATGGTGTGCTGTGAATAAAAGGAACAAGTTATACACTAATACAGTTATTTGTTCAGATATAGCAATGCTTTCCCAAGTTTCGTGCTGCATTAAAATCTCAGGCATTGAGTTTTATTAGAGACAGTTTGAGGAAATTAAATAGCAAGAATTCTAGTTTTAGGTACATGATCCTGCAGTTGATTTCACTGATGAGTCACTCCAGTACGCAGTGTATCTAGTCAAACTGTTGGCCCTGGACAGAGAAACAGTTCTCTGGTGCGTGAGCTTTGTTTGAGGACTTGCCCTGCTCAGTTTCCCACGGTACAACACGTGCATTGGTTATTTATACATTATGTTTTGTTTTGTTCTTCCTGTTTCTTCCCTGAAGAAATAACAAAGGGGAGGGCTGTGATACTCACTAAGACTCTTTATAGGATCTGCATTGAGGATCTGGCTGGCTCGCTTAGATCGGAAATAGTTACTGGCAATATTCTCACTGTCACTCTTGCTCAGCATCATCTTGTAACGGTCTTCTTCCTCCTGGAATCACAAAGCTCTGTCAGCACTGCACCCCCTTAACTCTATTCCTTAACCCATGGATGGACAAGATGCGGCTCGCCAGGCCATTCTATCCAGCCCACGGGGCCCCTAAAACATTTAGAAAATTAATATTTATCTGCCCCTGGCTGCCTGTCATGTGGCCCTCAATGGCTTACCAAAACTCAGTAAATGGCCCTCCGCCTGAAATAATTGCCCACCTCTGCCTTAACCCCTCCTGCTCCAACTGAAAAGCTGGGGCCTGGTGTTAGAAATACTGCAGAGTAATAGAACAAATGTGCTCCCATCTAGTTCTTGGGCAAACATTACCAAACAGTCTGGACAGGCCTGGGACAGATGCTGCAATACTGCCCAACACCTGCGAACAAGACTCCCAATATAACAACACAGGTGAAGTTCTACCATGGTGGAGAGTGCGAGGCAATAGTGTAACTAGGGTGGCGCAAAAGTGGCAGTGGCCCCACGTGCCAACTTGGGGAGGGGCAGAAAGAAACAGCTGTCACCACAGCCATGCAGTTGTGTCGGTGGCATGGCAGCAGCTGGAAGTTGCTGCTGCCTCCACGTGTTGCAGCTGCCCCAGGCACCTGGCTGCCTTGTTACATTTCGGGTGCGAGGCCTCCTGTGTGCTACGCAGAATGCCTTTCTGGCACCTCTCGGCAGGTGCCCACAGATATTTGGCTAGAAGATAAGCCAGCCATCCGAATCAACTGTTCCAAAGCCCTACCAAAGGAAGGGGTAGCAACTCCTATATGTAATGGGCTATAAAAGCAAATAAAGAGCCTGAATGCTTCTCCTTTCCCATGCCCCCTCCCTGCTGGACTGTCCCAATTACTCAGGTTTTGCAGGAAGGAGATTGGGAGAGAATCAGCAACTGATCCATGATAAAAGTTCCTGATGGAGGTTTGGAAATCAGCTTTAAACCACACACACTGCACAACTGTAGTCTTAGACTTACGTCCTGACAGAAATGGTCAGACAGACAGATAGGGAGTGGTTTTATCATCAAAAGGGAACTAATGATTCCAGCATACCAGGATTTGAACACAGCTCTCCAGGGAGAGCAGCAAGTGCAGGGTCCCACCAGCACTGTAACTGAAGTGCTCATAGTACCGTTCTAGGGTTCTGTCCCTGCATTCTGGCGTGTGTGCTTTTCCACCCTTTAGACGCTGAATCTGCTGGACTCCCCCAAGTTCCATTACTTGTTGCCTACAGAGCTACACTCCATTTAGCACCTATTAGCCTGTAACACCAAGTCACAGTTTCACTATTTGCTCTGCTTTCCACACACCTGCAATCCTCTGCTGCCTTTATTCTAATGCCCAATCATGGCTGGGCGAGAGTCCTCTGGAGCCATTTAAGGCTCTGCCTACAAAACCCAGGAAGAACAGCTACATAGCAACAATAACCTCGTCTCAGAGAGGATCTGAAGAATCCCAGAAGGGGAAGGACAGCTTACCATCAGCAGCTCTCTGCTCTCAGCCGAGGAGCTCTTCCTGGCTGGTTTAGTCTGTGGCAGTGATGAAACTGCTATGAGAAAACACAGGCATTAAAGGGCAAAGCTCTCTGATTCAGATGCTGTTTCTCGTGACTGTTCTTCTTGCTT